GAAAGTGGGTCTCGCGATCGCAAAGAATCACCTAAAGTAGAGGTATAAGATATTATTTTCGGACTTTGAGCTCATTTTATCACATTTTGAGTTTGGAAGCTCGGATTTGGCAATTTTGGAGGAAATTTTCACCGCTTGGATTGGGGTAAGTATTTTTCACTCGAATATGATTCTTTTACGTGATTCTATCTTTGATTTTTGCATTTGATTTGTGAATCTAAAAGAGAAATTGGGGAGGGGGAAGGTTGTCCAAACTTTTTTCAAGTGAATAATTGAGTTTTGACCATCGATTCAGAGTCGGATTTGAGTGAAATTAGTATGGTTGGATTCGTATTTGAATGGATTGTCAGAATTTTTAAGTTTTATCGGGTTCTGAGGTGCGGTTCCAGATTAACTTTTTGGTTGACTTTGAGTATTTGATGAAAGATTCAATCTTTATTGTTTGGGTTTGTTTTTTATGGTATTATTTGATGTTTTTGAGTTACTTTTGGCTAGTTTCGAGTCGTTCGGAGGTTGATTCACGCGGGATAGCGCTTCTAGAGGGTGTTGGCTTGCTCGGTATTGATTTGGCTTGTTCGAGTATGTAACATATCTAAACTTGGATTTGAGGGTAATTACGCTTGAGAACTATGATATTTGAGATGTGTTAGGGGTAACGTACGTACTAGGTCACGTGCGTATGTGCGTGCACCGGGTTATTCATGATTCGGGTAGTTCTTAGGCTATTATATGCCTTGATTTGTTATTGTGCTTCTTTTATATCATCTTTCCTCTATTTTTATGATTACGTAAGTTATTATTTATGCTAGAAATCATGTCTAGGCTATGTGATTAATTGTTTAAGACATGATAGGACTATTTTTACCATGTTGAGCTATTTGTCTTAGTCGTAGTCATACTATTAAGTCATGATAGTTGTATCCGCATGTTATATCTTTGTTTCCGTGCACTTTTGATATGCTATCTCACATGTTATTGGTGTTCTTGTACATGACACGAGTTTGAGCTGAATTTATGGCACATTGTGATATTTCGTATTGTATAATTTGATTATGTTTTGTGAGATGTTGGCATGTGGAGACTTGAGCGGATTGATGATTGATATGGGCCATAGAGCTGTGTTGTAAGTTATATTTGGATCAGGTTGCACGCTGTAACGGATTGATATTTGGATTGGATTACATGATGCAACAAATTGATATTTGGATCGGGTTGCACATCTCAACGGATTGATATTTCGATCAGGTTGTATGCTGCAGCGGATTGGTATTTGGACGGGGTTGCACACTGCAACAGATTGATATTTGGAATGAGTTGCATGCCACAACAGATCGATATTTGTATTGGGTGGATTAGGTTGCACGTCGAAATAATTATATTGATTATTGATTAGCGTTTGGGCCAGGATCCGCCCCTCTGGAGTCTGGCATTACAGTGAACACATGCACAGTGATATGTATGTGCTTTGGTGAGGGGCATTTGTGCCAGGCACCCATACAATACTAAGTGATTATGTGTGTGATTGTGGGGTGCCCTTGTGCCAAGCACCTTGAGTGTGTTGAGAGTGAGTGTATTTGATAGTTCTACCATGATGTTATTGACTTGACATATAGGCAGGGAGATGTATTTTCCTCATACTAGTTGGTAAATGAAATGTCTTATCTATTATTGAAAGTTTGGAAAAAATCAAGGTTATCTGATAAGCTCTTATTTTAGTGTTTTTGGTGAAAGATCCAGGCTTTAATTGTCATACTTTTAAAGCATGTCTAATTTTCTGTATTTGTGAACGAGCTCAACATGATATCTTTTGAGTTATTTGCTGTTATAGCCATCATTATATCATGTGTTGTTATTGATCGTTTGTGTTGGACATTGGCCTGTAATAGAACATGTCATAGCAAGTTTAGCTAAGGCATGTAAGAATAAACATGACAACGAAGGATAGGACAAATAATAACAACTCAATTAAATGCCTATAAGTGACCTAAGAGTCTAAACCGGTCAATTATTCAAATATAAGTCCGTATATACACTTGTCATCTCGTATACACGTCTTTCATATAATTCAAATAATACAATTAAACTGAAATTCCAAGGGGTATTTCCCCATACAAAGTTAGGCAAGATATTTACCTCAAAGATACTAAATCAATACTCTAAGAAGCCCTTCCTGTGTGAAACAACCTCCGAACGACTCGTATCTAGCCAAAATAACTTAATATCATAAATAAAAGCCATATGAAATAATTTTGGATAATAAAACTTTAATCTTTAAGTCAACTCTAGGCCCGCACCTCGAAACCTGACAAAACTTACAAATTCCGAACATGCATTCCGATACGAGTCCAATTATACAAAAATCATTTAAATCCGACCTTCAAACTATGAATTTATGTTTTGGAAAGTTTTTACTAAATTTCTCAGTTTCTCCAATTCAAATTATTAATCAAACACCAACATTGAGGTTGGGATTATGAAATAATAACAAATTCAAGTAAAAAATACTTACCCCAATCCAAGTAGTAAAAATCCCCTCCAAAATCACCCAAAACGAGCTCCAAAACCTTGCGAGAAAAAGTAACTAAATTCCGAAATTAAAAAAATGCAGCAGCTGTTCCAGCTCGATTCAGGTCCTAGATGATCCTGAAACTTACGTTTGATAAGCCCAACACGGTCCTTGCAAGATTACACCCAAGATAGCCTCTTAAATCACCCAATTGACCTTAAAATGAGGGAAATATGATGTTTTGAATTTTTAAAAGCAATCTGAAATTTTCTGGGATATAAATGGCATTTTCGTAATTACTTACACCAAAAAAAAACCAGCAATCTGAAAACTCATTCGGAACCTCCCGAACACAAACGATGTATGCATTTCAATCATAAAATACACTACGAACCTGCTCGCGCACTCAAAACACTGAAAAGAGATCATCTTGACCCGATATTGACCATGGTCAAACTTCAAATCTTTAACATAACTGGTTTCTCAACTAATGATCCGAAACACACCCAAGCCCCTCGGAACCCTATACAATCATACCAACAAATACAAATACATCATCCAAACTTATTCAAAGCCTCAAACATCCATGGGAACATCACAACAAAGAATCGAGGCTCAAACCGAATAGAATTTCTCTTAAGTTGTTGAATCTATTCATTCTTTTAAAAGAGTGTCCGAATCATTAAACACTTCAGATTACTTTCAAACTTCGCACACAAGTTCAATTCAACTATATAGACTTATCCAAAGTCTTGGAACACCAATTGGAGTCCAATAACATCAAAGTCAACTCTTGGACAAACTTATGAACTCTTAAGCTCTTCAAATTGTCAACTTTCGACAAATAGTGTCAAATTCTTATAGGAATCTCCGAAACCAAATCCGAATATAATGCAAGTCCAAAATTATCATCCGGACATATCGGAACAATCAAAACCTGATTCCGAGTCTGTTTACCCAAAAGTCAAATCTTGGTCAACTCTTCCAACTTAAAACTTCTAAAACGAGAATCATTCTTCCAAATCAATCCCAAACCACTTGAAAACCCAAAGCAACCTTACACGCAAGTAATAATACATAATATAAGGCTACTCAAAGTCTCAAACCACTGAATAGAACGCTAAAGCTCAAAACGACCGGTCGGTATACCCTTGGTATAAAATAAAAATATTATATTATATTTTTTAAATAAATTTACAGGTTGGTATTGAGATTTAGCTTTAGGCCATCAATATCATTGAGCTTCTATCGAATAAACCGTGCAAATTCATGAAAAGGATATATTGTATGAACTCATTATCTATCTTTTGAACTGGCGCAAGAGGGAACTAAGGGGCCTTCGGTACTTATATTACAACTAAAGCTATTAAACGGGTGGGCCGGGCCGGGTCCATTTTTTTACCCGTCCGGGTTTCGGGCCGGGCCGGTTCCGGGTTGGTACAGTAACGGGTTTAGCGGGCTGGGTTAATCCAGGTAAAAATTGAACCATAAGGGTTACGAGTTGAGGGGGCCGGGCCGGGCCGGGTTAGTGTATTTTTAATTTTTTTTTAGAATTTTGTATAACTATTGTAAGTTATATTAATACTTTGTATTAATTAAAAGAAATTAAGAATACAAGTAAGATGGGGAAAAATAGCACTTATTGCAAGTGCTACTTTATTTCTTAATTTCAAGTTTCAACTTTCAAACTTACAAAATGAAATGTTTACATTTTTTTCAACAAGTAAACTAGTAAAGTAGTAATTTCAAATGTTTTGCATCGCCCTAGCAAGTTCATCATAATCAATATGAACCGATTGACCTTCTTTTGGCATGTTAAATTCGGATGGGTTTCCATGTGTTAATATATCTCCAAGTTCCTCGTCTTCTAGGCTATCAATTATATAGCTGTTGTAAATATTCATTTAGCTTGTTCATAGAAACATATAAATTTGGGGTTTCAGTTTCTCCAATCTCCATATAAGTATATAAAGCATTCATTAATTGGTGACAATCAGACATTTTAATAGAAGGATTTAAAACTGCACCAATTAAGTAAATCGGAGGAATTGGAAAGAAATATTTTTTGAATTTTGCTTGCATTTTTTCAACAACATCCTTATATTTTTCTTTCTTCTTAAATTCAGATAGTAGAAAAGAAATTTCAGCTATATGTACTAAAGTCATAGTAACAGTGGGGTAATATGCTCCAGAAAACTCAACAGTAGCTGTATAAAATTTATGTAAAAATTTAACAACATCATTAATGACCTCCCAAGTATCACTTGTTAACATACGCCTTGGATCAGTACAATGTACAATGTGCATTAAATTCAAGAAAAGAGAGCCAAATAAAATTATAAAATTAGAAGATGAAATCTTGCAAATTGAAGGGAAGAGAGAAATTGAGAATTTGANGGCCCGTTAGCCACCTTTAATTACAACCCTCCACGTGAAACAATAATGCTGCACCGAACAAACCTCAAAACCACTAAAAGGCTAGTCTGCCGTGTGATTAGCTCGGCAGCTCAGCTGAATACTAGGAATAAGCATTTGGATCCAATTTAACGGAGATAGAAAATCCCTATACTATGAGGATATAATTCCATTAAATGTATTTCAGAGATGGCGGATGGAATTATTAAAGTGTTGCCTGAAGATGTGATGATGTTTATTCTTATTAGGCTTAACGTGAAATCTCTCATACGACTCAAATGTGTCTTTAAAACTTTGTATACTCTCCTTCAATCATCCATGTTTATCAATTTTCATCTCAAACGGACCACCACTGCCAAAGATGAATTCATTCTACTCAAACGATCCTTCCAAGAAAGACCGAACAAATTTAAAGGTATCTTGTCTTTTCTCTTTGGAGTTAATGACCATATTGATCTTAGACCTGTTTCTCCTGATCAAGACTTACCATATCTCACCATCACTAATTCTTGTATTTTCCATCAAATATTGGGTCCTTGCCGCGGTTTAATTGTTCTTACCGATTCTGAAAGCACCGTCCTATTTAACCCAACAACTAGAAATTATAGGCTACTTCCATCAAGCAATTTTAATTGTCCATTGGGTTTCTATCATGATATTAAAGGTGTAGGGTTTGGCTTTGACTCGGTTGTGAATGACTACAAGGTTGTAAGAATTTCGCAAGTTATTGGAGATCCTCCTTTCAATGATTTTAATGTTAGAGAATGGAGAGTTGAGGTTTATGATATGATTACTGATTCTTGGAGAGACCTAGATCATGTTGATCAACAGTTGCTAAATTTGATTTGGTATCCTTGTTCTGAGATGTTTTACAAGGGAGCCGTTCATTGGTTTGCAACGAACATATTGTTTTGATTCTTTGTTTTGACTTGAGTACTGAGATTTTTCGGAATATGAAGATGCCTGATACTTGTGATTTTTTTGACGGTAAGTGTTATGGCCTTGTAGTTTTGGATGAGTCCTTGACATTGATTTGTTACCCTAATATAGGGAGTGTGCCTAAACAAAGAAAAGAACTAACAGATATCTAGATAATGAAAGAGTACGGTGTGAATGAATCTTGGGTTAAGAAATACACAATTAGACCTCTTCCTATTGAATCCCCATTAGCAATTTGGAGGGATCATCTGTTGTTTCTTCAAAGTAAAAGTGGACTTTTGATTACCTATGACCTTCATTCGGAAGAAGTCAAGGAGTTCAATTTGCAGGGTTTTCCCAAAAGTTTGAGAATTGCAATTTACAAGGAAAGCTTGACACCAATTCCAAATGGAAGTGAGCTTCGTAGCCAATTTCAAAACTATAGAGAAGATATAACTCTTTAAATTGATGACCTGTATTCTAACAACTCTTTCTCCGTGAAGATTTTGGTAAGTAGTTCGTTAAAATCATTTAGTTATCTCAAATGTGTACCATGTCTACATCTTTAAGACCTTCGCTTCGCAAGTTGAGTAAATGCTTTTATTTCTACGTTCTTTCATATTCATAACAAAAAATATTAGTTTATTACAGTATCTCATTACGGATAAATGTCACGGGCGGAGCTAGAATTCAATTTTTTGGATACTAAATTTTAAAACAACGACATCAAATATTAGTAATTGGATTCTAAATTTAATATTTGAGGCAAGGTTTTTGGTCATAGATTTGGTTCGTGATGCTTTGGAGAAGGCGAAATTGATTCACGAGCGAATTCGTACAGCGCAGTCCAGACAGAAAAGTTATGATGATAGGAAGGTTCGCATTGTGGCTTTCATGGAAGGTGAGAAGGTTCTTCTCCGAGTTTTGCCTATGAAGGACATGATGAGATTCGGGAAAAAGGGAAAGTTAAGCCCTCTGTATATTGGTTCTTTCGAGGTGTTAGAGAGAGTTGGTGAAGTGACCTACAGACTTGCTTTGCCACCAAATTTATCAGAAGTTCATCCGGTACTTCATGTTTCTATACTTCCGAAGTACTTGAAGATCTGTCACATGCATTGGATTTTAGTCCAGTGCAATTAGACAAGGGTTTGACTTAAGATGAGGATCTAGTGGCCATTCTGAATAGGCAGTTTCGAAAGCTGAGGTTGAAGAATATTGCATCTGTGAAGGTTCAGTAGAGAGGTCAACTGGCCGAGGATGCGATTTGGGATACCGGGTATGATATGTGAGAAGATATCCTTACCTTTTTATACCCCATATATGGTTCTAAACTTGTTCGAGGACGGGCGTTTGTTTAAGAGGGGGAGAATGTAACGACCCAGTCGGTCATTTTATGTATTTGAGCCTTGTTCCTTTATTTGATGTTTCCTATATGCTTTTTTGTTGTTTTGCGTCTTGAAGGATGTTTGGTTTTGTTTCGAGGAAGTTTTAAAGTGAACTGGAACATTTAGTTTTGAAATCTTAAGTTATAAGAGCTGACCGAGGTTTGACTTTATTGTAAACAACCCTAGATGTTTTGATGGTTCCAATAAGTTCGTATAGTAATTTTTTTACCTAGACTTATGCCTGAAAATGGAGTTGGAGATTCCTAGGTTTATTTGGCTCTTTTTGGCGAAAGTTGAAAATTTAAAGATTGGATGGTTCATAAATTTAGCAGGGAGTTGACTTTGAAGCTATCGAGGTCGGATTGTGGTTCTGGGGCTTGGAACATATTCGTTATATCATTTGTGATATGTGTGAAAAATTTAGGATTATCCTGAGTTGGTTAGACGTGGTTCGGCATGAGGTTTGGAAGTCTGAAAGTTGGTTAGTTTATTAAGCTTGAATTGAGGTGTGATTCATAGTTTTGATGTTAATTTATGTGATTCGAGACCTCAAGTAGGTCCGTGTTATACTTTGGGACTGGTTGATATTATTGGACGGGATCCGGGAGGCCTAGGGTGAGTTTTGGATGGGTTTCGAATCATTTGAGATCGAATTGGCTGATCAGGTCTGCTGTTTTTGCACCTACGAGATTTGGTCCATAGGTGTGGGCCTGCAAAAGTGGACATGAGGCTACAGATGCGAGTTTGGCTAGGATCAGGGTGTCTGCAGATGCGGCATTTGTTGCACAGGTGCTCTACTTATAGCACAGAAATAGCTTAACATAAGTGGATTTATGTTCGCAAAAATTATGGGAAGGGGCTTAAGTGGATTCCACATCTGCGAGGTATTTTCTGCAGATGCAATGTCGCAGAAGTGACATTTTAACTGCAGAATCGATAATCGTTTGGAAGAAGTAATTTAATCGAGATTTTGGTATAGTTTATTATAATTTAAGATAGAGAGCTCAGAATGGAGCGATTTTCACTAATTAGATTAGGGTAAATATTCTTAACTTGAATTTGATTATTATGCATGATTATATCTTTGATTCTGAAATTTGATTGATGAATCATAAGAGAAAAATATGGTGTTTTGAAAAAACTCTTCTAAAGTAAAAAATGGATATTTGAATCTTGATTTAGAGTCGATTTTGGATGAAATTTGTATATTGGACTCGTATTCAAATGGGTAATCGAGATTTGTGAATATTTTCGGGTTGCGAGGAGTGGGCTTGGGTTGACTTTTTGGTTGATTCTTTCTAATTTGATATAGATATGAGTGTTATTACTTGGAGTCGACTTCTATATTCATGTTTGATGTTATCGATTTGTGTTTTACTAGATTTGTGTTATTTGAAGGCCGAGTCGCGTGGGATTTGGAGTACTGATTCGCACACTTTTAGGTAAGTAACATGTCTAAAATTGATTTGAGGGTAATTTTCCTGTTGGTTATGATATTTGAGATATATTTGGGGTGACGTATGTGTTAGTTGATGGGTGTATGTGCGTACACAAGGGTTATACATGATCCAGATTGACTTTAGGCTATTTTATGTCTTGTTCTACGATCACACATTATAATATCCATATTTTCTCTATTTGTATGACTTCTTGAGATATTATTTATCCTAGCAATCATGTCTAGGCTATGTGCTTATCTGTTTGAGACATGATAGGGATATTCTTGCTATTTTGAGAATTTTGCCTTAATTGTACTTATATCTCAATCATGATGCTATATCCGCGTATTATATCACATCTCAGTGGCTTCTGTATATGCTATCTCACATGCTATTAATGCCCTTATATGTGTGACACAGTTTGAGCTGAGTACTGTGAGATGTGAATATATGACACTTGAGCGGTTAATGACTGAGCTTGGGCCATGGAGCCGATTTAGTATTAATTATGAGGTGACGCGTACATCAAGCCCCACCTTGGGCTAAGTAATATTGATTATGAGGTGACGCGTGCGCCAGGCACCAAGTTGGAATATGTCATATTGATCATTAAATTAAATCCGATCAACGCTTGGGCAAGGACCTACCCCTCCAGAGTCAGGTATTAACTGTAGGCGCAAGCACAATATTATACATGTTCTTAGGTGAGGGACTTGTGACAGGTACCTGTATAGTGCTAAGTGTTATTGTTGTTGTGTGTGACAGTCCTAGGTCCATTGTGCCTTGGGGAAATGCCTACCTTCAGGAGAAGATTACCGAATGAGTTTCAAACCTATCCTCTTCGTTTCTCAAGATATTTAGGGAAATGGCCTTGTCGGGCACCACTTGCTGACAACGTGCTGAGATATGACATACTTGTTGATTTAATTGCGAATTGTTGATTCTAGCATGCATACTTGCCATGTAGGTACTAGGATGTATTCCTTCCATCATGCTTATTGGTACTTGATGTCTTTATTTAATGTATTGGACTTAGAATCACTGTTAAATTGAGGAAACAATGTTTAAATGACTTTTGTGAAAGTATTTATGCCTTAATTGTTATTCTTGAAAAGAATGCCTATTTCTTCTACGCAAAACTGTTGGATTTAATATTGCTTGAGCTACCTTTTTTACCATTATTATTCTGTTATTGTTGTAATTAGGTATTAGAAATGAGTTTTGGACTTTGCCGAGATAGTCGTTGCTTTCAGCCTGAGGATAAACTTACTACTTATTGAGTACTTGGGGTTGGTTATACTCATATTGCACTCTGCACTTTATGTGCAGATCTAGGTGCTGCCGAGAGGAAAGATTACTAGGGCATGGCCAATGTTAACTTGGGAGATTTCAAGGTAGCTGTTGTTCTGTTTGCATGCCTTGAAGTCCATTTTCTCTCGAGTTATGTTATTACTGTTCTATCTTTCGGACAATTATATTTTGAGAGCAGACTTCGTATTTAAAATATATAGTGCTCATGCGCTCGTTCTAGATCAATGGGTGGTTTTTTAGTTGTATTATTGCTATTGGATTTCATTATTTATGATTAGTCAGCTATTTAGACTATTTGATTATGTTAATTGAATTTATTCATGCTTGTTAATTGTTGTCTTGCCTAGCACACGGTGATAGGTGCCATCACGGTTCCGGTAGAAGTTTGGGTCGTGACACACTATGAATTTTCCTTGATTTTTTTCTTTACCATCAAGCATACTGTTTAAAGTTAATCTCTTTCTCGTTTGTACTTTCTTCTTCGTTGCACCTTTGTGATTCTCCAAACTCGGGTATGCACCATTGGATATGAACATTTTACTTCTTCCGCTCTCTATTTTGTCCATTACTTTCTCATGATTAACTCATTTATCTTTAAGCTAATTTCAACTTTGTGTCATTAGTGCCTATTCATCTAACGGGTGGACTTTGGTATCCACATTTTCGATCTCCAAAATTTCAGTCAATGTCATACTGTTAAGTATTGATGATTAATAAAATATGTCTAATTACTTAAAGAACCAGGTCCTTAATGTAGCTGCTTAATTGTTGTGAAGAACCAACTTTTCAGGTTAAAGGATAAACTCTTTATGATTGATACTTATACGTTTGTACAAGATAGTAACTTTATCTCAAACTTACCATATCCGAGTTTTGTGGAAGATGACTGCTGCAAGTGATAAGGATCGTTGCTCAAGAAGATATGGATAAGTCAGTTAGAGATAAAAGTCCCAAAGCTTGTGGAATCCTTAGACCAGAAGGAGTCCTTTCAAAGAGGAAGCTGACTATGAATAGGACTCTTAGAAGATCTCAAGTCGTTTTTAAATAGGATTGAGTTTGGACTTCTGAACTATCCTTTTACAGATCAACAGAGTCATAAAGTGGTTCACTTGTGTTGAGTACTAGTCATGTACTCTTTCCGAGTTAGTCTAGTAAATTTGTTTTGGGAAATTGAGTTGTAATCAAGTGTTATAAACAATCAGTGAGTTGGAGTGAGTATTTGGTTTACAAGGTAGAGTTACTTGTGAATCAAATAAGAGTAGTAGTAGTACTGGAGAGTATTTAATTATAGTATTGTAATTGGCTCATTGTTCTAGTGGAGTTGAAGCTGAAAATCCTACTTGGTAGGTCGTGGTTTTTGCACTTTTTGAGCCGGGTGATTTTCCACGTAAAAATCACTTTGTTCATTTTATTACTTGTTTAATTTTCGCTTAAGGCACACGGTGAAGAACCAAGTTTTTTAGCAGTTTATACTGGCACTCAAACTAACAATTGGTATATGAGCGGGTTCTCTCATTTACATAGTTAACACCTAGAGAGATCTTGGAAGAAAGATGAGTGCTCCACCTGAAATTAATGAAGGATCATCAACTGCCATACCGCCCCTGTTCAATGGAAAATATTATAGTTGGTGGAAGTAAGAACGGAAGATTTCTTGACTGCTGAAGATTGTGAACTATGGACCATAGTAAACCAAGGTCCTTTAATTCCTACTAAACAAAATGTAAAAAAGTAAAACAGTTTCTAAGGATTCCTCCGAATTTGTGGTAGCAGATTTCAAAATGATGGAGAAGAATGCAAAGGCTAAGAAAATCATTATATATGGACTTGGTCCTAATGAGTACAATATAATTTTTATGTGCTCTAATGTGAAGAAGATTTGGGATGCACTCCAAACCTCTCATGAAGGAACAAATCAAGTTAAGAGATCAAGAATTGAACTACTCATGAGAAACTATGAGCTTTTCTCTATGAAGGAGTCTGATCCCATCCAGGATATGATGATTAGGTTCACTATAATAACCAATAAACTGAAATCAATTGGAAAAGTATTTACCTTTGAAGAGTTGGTTAGAAAAGTCCTAAGAATCCTTCTAGCTTCATGGGACTCAAAAGTCAGTGCAATCCAGGAAGCCAAGGATCCGGATAAAATCTCACTTGATGAGTTAGTTGGAAACTTAAAACACATGAAAAGAGAAGGATGGAATTACGTAAAGAATATCCAAAGAAGGATAAGATCTTGGTCCTTAAGGCATATGAGGATGATTAATCTAACTATGATGATCCTGATTTAGCAATGTCTGCCAAGTTCAAGAGGTTCATTAAGAATTCCAAAAGTGTATCTATAAGAGACACCAGTAGTAAGCACAAGCAGATTGACAAAGCTAACTATGATGGTTGCTACAAGTGTGGCAAGCTAGATCACATGGTAAAGGACTGCCCAATATGGTAAATCGAGCGGAGGAAAGAACGAGATGAAAAAGGAGAAATGGGAAAAGATGAGAAAGAAGGGTTCCAACAAAGGAAAAATCCTAAGCAAAGGATTTACTGAAGCTATGAATTAGGCATTCTTGGCAGCATATGAGGATAGTGTGTATGATCACGAGGAAGAAAAAGAGGATGAGGCTATTAGCCTCTATGCTGTGATCGATGAACATCAAGTTATGAAGATTGAACCCCTAGTAACTTAAGATGGAAATTGGAAGACCTCATTTGTTTGATGAACTCCACTATGATGAATGGAATCTACATATGGAAACTTTTATTCGGGCTATTGACTTTGATCTATGGATAATTGTCAGTCATGGACCAATTCTCCCAACCAAATTGGATGGTGAAGGTAACAAGTGCAATAGAAGAGAAGAGGAATACAATGAGGAAAAGTGTCAGCTAGTTCAGAAAAATGCCAATGCAAAGGACTTGCTCTACACAAGTCTGTCTAGAAACTCCCTCTTTAGAGTGTCCTCTTGCATCTCTACTCATGATATACAGAGGACATTGGAAATTGACTTTGGAAATGAAAATATTAAAGTGGATCCGATGGAGATTAAAGAATCAAAATAGAGGAAGAAGTGATCGGAATGATGGCCATGAGTGATTCAGAAACCGAAGATGAGACAAACCAGGTAAGTACATATGACTTGAAAGAAAATATTCATGCTATGTCCAAAAAGCAACAGATGGCCATAGCTGTAACCTTAATGAATGAAATGGATAAATTGAGTAATGGAAATGATTTGCTAATCAGTAAGCTTTATTGTGTGAAACTCAATATCAAAGAGCTTGAATCCGACAAAGCCAGTTTAGAGAAACATGTCAAATACCTTAACAACTAGGTTCTTCAACTAACTTCTGAGAATGAGAAGTCTCTTGATATATATGGCAAAGGCAAAATGAGTGATTTGTAGGATAAGCTTGAGAAGGAATTAAAAATTGCTAATGATAATTTCTATAAAGCTGAATGTAGAAATAAAGTCCTGCATGAGAACATAGAATGACTAATTATGAACTCTCTAGACTAAGCAAATGGCATAGATCTTCTGATGCCTTAAATTGGCTAAATAAAAACTATAGCATTAACAAATTTGGAATTAGCTATAGAAAACCTGTCCCTAAGTTTGACCCAAAGTATGTTGGAATTTCTAATAATAAAATATGCACTCATTGTGGAAGACTAGGACACTTTAGAGACACTTGTCCTGCCTTAATACATGCTCAGTTTAGAAACACCTTTAGTATTGCTAAAAATGTAAAGAAGGAAGAGGAACCAAAGGTTAATCCTCCTGTTCATACTAAGTAGATTAAGGTTAATAAGAAAATAGCTTCTAATCCTCTTCCTTTCTGGGCAAGAAGGAATCTGATTCATTATTTTTCAAATAAAAAGGGACCCAAGCTATTTTGAGTTCCCAAACCTAACTTGTGAATTTTGGTGCATGCTAAGATGACAGGAAACAATCAGGACTGGTATCTAGACAGTGGATGCTCAAGACATATGACTGGAGAAAAGAAACACTTTCTCTCACTGACAACCTTCCAAGGAGGGAGTGTGTCATTTGGTAATGGGAAAAATGGCCAAATAACAGGTATTAGTAAGATTGGCAAGTCACTCTATCATGCTATAGAAGATGTGTATTATGTGGTAGGTCTTAAACATAATCTTCTTAGCATCTCTCAAATGTGCGGCAAAGGAAATTAGGTAAAATTCAATTCCCAAATTTGCCTGTCACTAAGCTTGATATTGATGAAATTGCGCTAAGGGGTAAGGGACTTAACAATGTCTACAAGATATCGATTATGTCGCTTCCCTAGAGTGAGAACACATGCTTGAGTATAGTGGAAGATGATCTACTACTATGGCATATAAGATTGGCATATGTCAGTCTCTCTCAACTCAATAAGTTGGCAACTAAGGACTTGGTCCTTGGGCTACCTAAAGTTGAATTCACCTATGACAAAGTATGCATGCGTGTGTTAGAGAGAATCATGTTAGCTCATCCTTTAAATCTAAGAAGTTTGTAAGCATTTCTAAACCTCTAGAACTCCTTCACATGGATCTATGTGGACCAATGAGAATAAGGAGAAGAGGAGGTAAGATGTATATGTTTGTGATTGTTGATGATTTTTCCAGGTATACATGGACTTTGTTTTTGGGATCCAAAGATGAAGCCTTTGGTGTTTTCTCTATATTTGTCAAAATGATTCAATAAACGACAGGATGTAATGTTTTAAGTATAAGCACTGCCATGGAACTGAATTTAAAAATTCAAAATTTTTTGAGTTCTATGGATCACATGGGATTGACAATAATTTCTCTGCACCTAAAACTCCACAATAAAATGGAGTTGTAGAAAAAAAAGAATAGAGCTTTAGAAGACATGGGGAGGACCATATTTATTGCTAGTGGACTGCCTAAGAGCTTCTGGGCTGAGGCAATCAATACTGCTTGCTATCTGCTAAATAGATGCATGGTCTGACCCATTCTTGCGAAAACTCCCTATAAGTTACTTCGAGGAAGAAAACCCAGCATTACTCATCTGAGAGCCTTTGGGTGCAAATGTTTTGTGCCCAATAATAGAAAAGAAGCTCTAGGTAAGTTTGATGACAGAAGCGATAAGGGAATTTTCTTGGGTTCCTCTCTACATAGTAAGGCATATAAGGTTTTTAATAAAAGTACTATCTGCGTGGAAGAAAATATTCATGTTATTTTTTATGAATCTAACAATTTGGCTAAGAAAGGTCTGTAAGATGAAGATTATGACATATGATT